ATTAAAATTAAAAATTTTACAAAATAAAATAAAATGTTTAAAATAAAAAATTTAAATAAAATTTAAATATTTAAAATAAAAATATTAAAATTTTCTTAAACATTTTTTAATATTTTTAAAAAATAAATCCAAAAAATCCAAAAACTCAAAACTCTTTTGAAAACTTAAAACTCTTTTTAAAATTCAAAATTTAAAAATTCATTTCAAAATTTATAACCAAACAAAATTTCTCTTTTCAAAACTCAACTCATAATTCCACACTCAAATCACAACTCCAAAAAGAAAATCATAATTCTAAAACTAAACCAAACACAAATTAATTTTCAAAAGAAATAAAATTGTGATAATTACATTTTAGTGAAATAATGAAAGAATAATTGTACTATATATGAATTTTTGTATAAATATACAAAGACTTGACATGATACACAAAAGTGGCTTTTGCCTCATTTGAATCTTGACCTTTTCTGCATTCCAGCCCTACATAATCAAAATCCTTTTTTTTTATTTTTTATTTTATTTTCATTCCAGCTATAGGAGTAAAGCAAGCAAAGGTGGATATGGTTTTTACAGAAAGAACATATGACAAGCATACGTTATATAGGAGTTTTTGTGAACACACCAAAAAAATCAATTTTTTAGTTTTTTTGTTTTTTTTTAGCCAAAAAAGTCAGCTTTTTTATCCAAAAGAACCCAATTTTTTACCAAAAAAAATCAAAAAAAATCAAAAAGCTAAAAAACTAACTTTTTACTAACTTTCCAAAACACTCTATAGTATGTCACTCTTACCATTTAATGTGTCGATATAGCATTAATATTTAAGACTAATAGAGTATATCACATTAAATGATAAATACAAATAATAAAAGTAATTGATTAACTTAATATTTTGGGACAATTAAAAAAAAAAAAAAAACCAAACTTTTAGCTTTATAACAAAATAAATCTTAAAATTTAAATTTTAATCTTTTGAATTTTTTTTAATCTAAATCATTCGTCTATTTTTGTTAAGTAAAATCGATGAAAAATTATATTTTAGATATTAAACTCAATGAAGGTATAAATAACATTTCTAAAATACCATTTTTATCGAATTTAATGACTAAAATACTCTTTTTTTCCCATCCATTTTACTTAACATAACTAAATAAATGCTAAGATTGAAAATAAATCAAAAACTTAAGATTTAAATTGATAAAATTAAAAACTCAAATTTTATTTTGTTAAGACTTAAAAAGTGTTTTTTTTTTTTTTTTTTATAATCTCCCCTGACATTTTTGCATGCTCTTTTAAGTGCCCGCTCCGTCAATTTGCAAGAAAATATTAATGGTTGCAATTTAAACAGTTGTTGTGAGGCTCACACGAAAGAGTATTTTATCAAGAAAACCTATGATATGCATATTTAAAAATAGACATATCGTAAAAAAAAATTGTAATTTTTTGTAATGAACAAAAAGTAATACAATTTATAATGAAAAGATTATCATTTTATGATTTATTTTGTAATGTTATTATGAAAAAAAAAAATACAATATGCACCTTTTATAGTGCACTTAATAATATTTTCTTTGATGACATGGTTTATTCTATATAAGTAAAATAATTTGAGATGTGACAGTGGAAATCTCCAATTTTAATAGCATATTTTCATTTGACTAAAAAAAAAAAAGGATGGATACCATATCAAAAACTAATTCTAATCATTAGATTTGGTTAATAGAAAAAAATTTAGCCATCAATTAGTAATGGTTAATACTGAATACAAGGTATTTTTGCACAAAAAATAAATTAGTAATTCTATAATTTTACTGTCACTTTCAACCGTTTTCTCTTTCATAATTGGACATTAAACCCATTTATGATGGGAGTTGTCCGTATATGCGGCACGGCTTTACCATGCCTCATTCGAAGTGTTATCGCAGAAAATATTTTATTTAAAAATGATGATGGTGCAAATTAACAATACTATATGAATTATGTTTCCACCATAGCATTAAAGTCTCCAAAGAGCCGCAAAATACCCATGGCATCCCCCACCAACTTAAACATGCCGACCAAACTTTCAAAGCAAAAATCATATTAAAATTCTCCAATTCACTATTATCTCCCCTACAAGAATTGTCTTTGAAATTTCTCCAATTCTTTCGCAACATCCACAGGGATCTTGAATGGCAACAAATAATAACTGGGCAATGCAAACCGGGTTAGCTTTGAACTTTTAAGCCAATTTTTCAATCATTGGATGATGCAATGGTGGCGATACTCCCAAATCAACATTTTATTATGATATAAACTTCACCATAAGCATTATAGAAAGTTAACCGGAAGGAGAAAATGATAAAATGAAAAGGCGAGCAAGATAACAAAATGAAGAGTTTGTCACAAGGATAGATCGGCCAAGTCAAAAGATCTTGAAACAGCCTTGCACCAATACTCCACCTTTTTCTGCCTCAGATCTTCTTGCAATGTTGGACTGAAAATGGTAGCTTTCTCCTTCTTTTCCCCAGAAGAAAAAATTTCGTCTTCTGTCCAAACCCCAATAGCTAACCCAGCAGCATAGGCTGCTCCGAGAGCTGTTGTCTCTATGTCAGCTGGTCTTACCACTGGGCTACCCTGCAAATCACAAGTGCAAAATGAAACTGTGACATATATGACTGGGATAGAGAAAAACAATTAGCAGCCAATTATCAAAATATGAACCGATGAGAAAATATGCCCAAAAAAACTTTAAAAGACAATAGAGTAGACTTATAATTTAACTACCTAAGGAAGATCATGCGTGAACAACACAAGATCATGACAAAAATGTAAGGAAAAACATTTGCCAAGACAATAATAAACGAACAATATGATTACTGCAGAAATGTTTGTAATTATCCAATTATATAGTAGATGGGAGAACTAAAATCAAATTGGTTAGGCTCATTTCCAATGCAGAATCAATTCAATCCAGAACTAGATAACTTTCCAACATAAATAAGTAACTTCAAACACAGATCAATAATAAAAAAGAAATTCTTACCCTAAGCTGACATAGTTTTAGGTTCAATTAAATAGCAATGAAATTCAGCACACAGCAGAAAATGTAAGGAAAATTGACCTGAATTTGCATCAAAAGGTTGTTAACAGTAGCACCACCATCCACCCTAAGCAAGAATTCCCCCTTCTCATTTTTGACCTCACCCTTCTCCCCTGCATCCTTATGCATTGAATCAAACACATCTTTCACCTAGAAACACATACTCTCGAGCATAGCTCGAGCAATGTGAAACTTGTTTGTAAACCTTGTAATGGCAATACAAACTCCACGAGCATCATCACGCCACCATGGAGCAAATAATCCATTAAATGCCGGCACAAAATAAATTCCACCAGTGGAGTCAACCTGCATAGCCATGTCCTCAATCTCACTAGCAGTTTTAATCAACCCAAGACCATCTCTGAGTATTAAATTCAATGTATAAAGAGAGAAATACAGAGAGAATAATATATCTATTGATATATTGAATGTTGTGTTTTATGTACATGGTTGGTCTCCTTTATATAGGAGATGTGGGTAGAGAGTAGGTGTAGTGGAGTAGGTGGAGTAGGTGGTGTGTAGTGGAGTAGGTGAAGTGGAGTAGTTTTAACAGCCCCCCGCAAACTCAAGGAGGAGAGACACAAATCAACTTGAGTTTGGAAAGAGTAACAAAATAAGAAAATAGACTAATACATAAAATAAAAGAGGATAGGAGACACTGGATGGTCCTGTTGGACCGTTGGTGAAGACACTGTGCGGGCATGTCAGATCGTTGTAGAAGACACTGTATGGTCGTGGCAGACCGTTCTAGCAGATAATGTCTGGACAGTTTACGAGGTCATGTCAGACCGTTGTAAAAGCTAACCGGAATCAATGTCGGGACAGTTTATGGGGTCATGTCCGACCGTTGTAGAAGACACTGTATGATTGTGTATATAGGCTGCCCAAAAGATATACATGTATATATATATCGAGCCCTCAAAAGTCGCGCCCTCAAAAGGCGCGCCCACTGCATCAAAAGCTGTGCCCGACAGAAATCATCGAGCGGCGAGCCATCAAAAGGCGCGCCGGACACGCGGCGATGCACGTGTGTAGACACCCCATTTTTGACCGTCCTCAAGACTTGGACGTCACCGTTTGAACACTCGGTGATCATCCATGTTTGTGTTCGTTTGGAGTTCCCGGAGGTCTCGGCTCGCGCACCCTGCCTCAGGATCTCCGAACTTGACCGTTTAGTGTCTAGTTTTGTACCGAACACTTGCGTTTTGCCTTGGAGGGGCAAGGAATGCCTTGTGAGACATCCCCACACACCACCGGCAGTGGCTGGAGGCCACTGGCTGGTCTTTTTCTGCCATCGGCACTTTTGTTTGCCGGTCGGCACACTTTATTGCCGGTCGGCATAATTTGTTGCCAGCCGGCACTGTTTTTTGTCGAATTGACATTTTTGGGCAGCCGACCACTGTTCATCCGCTTTATGGAGATATTTTGTGCCAGCTGTGATAGCTGGCACCAACTCTTCCCCCCTCCATACACGTGTATGGAGGGATCTCCCTCTAAGCAAGCTTGTTGTATAAGCTTTGCAAGAGGGAGTCTTATAAGAGGAGGGCTTTCCTCTTGGATCTAGGTTAGAAAGTTAGAAGCAAAAACCAGCCCTTAGAGATATAGATACATATTATCTCTATACCTCCCTCTTTCTCCCTTATTGTGTGTGTTTCTTAGCTCAAAAAGTGTTTTTTACCTTACTTTTGCACCATTACACACACCATTACACCTTACTCCGAGATTGAGGGACTTAGGGGGTTGTTTCTTGAGTTTTTGGACTGGTTTTGATCAAAAGAAGGAGGCTGGATCCTCTTCCCGAGGCCTTTACTGCTTTCTTAGCTTAGTTAATTTGCTTAATAATTAATTAGGTGGTCTGTAATAATTAATTAGCTTGTAGGTTAATTAATTGGTATTATTCTTT